AAGCAGCTGTGCGGCATAGCTTTAATTATAGAATCTAATTTATTGCATCAACCCTGTTTATGTTGGTCTGGGGTTTAATGTAATGTTTACTTTTCTAGTCACATCCAGAAATAACAGGATTAGACGATGACTATGCCTCAAACAGCGCAAAGTTAATCTTTTTAATGAAGGAAAACAGTTCTGTGCCCTCAAAATAAGATGTACATCTGAGTCAGCAGGCCTGAAATTTAGGGTAATTACTCTGTGTGAAACATCCATACACAGACACATCAGCCAGGTTGCAATGACATACCTATGTTGTGTCACCTATTTTCAGCTGTCACTCAATGGACAGGTTGAAGGCTTGACCCACCGATAAATAAAGTCAATGAGAATCTTCAGAGTTTGGGATCAGGCTGGGTTTCTTTCTTTTCTTTTGCTTTACACTTAAAAAGAAAAAGTAAATTTTCCCTTGACCTTGAAATTAAGTTTTAAAAGCTTTACTAAGTTTTAATGAACACATATTAGATAAAGACTTTCATGTCACTTATTTGAGAGTACACTTCAGTCTTTTGGATGCCTTTCCCCTGGAAAGGTTCACAGACCAGAGGTATTCCTGACTTATAATAAGGCATCCTTTACACTTCACTCTTAGTTACAATTGTTTAACCTTTCAGTAAATGTTCCCAATGGCCATAATTGTTCTCCTGATCTGTTTTTCAAGCAGCAGAGCCAACTTTGTGGCTTTGTGATACATAACTCTGAGAGACTAAGTCGGATGAAGTATTATTGAATGATTAGGATAATAGAATGGGCAGATGTTCTTCAGCGGAAGAACCATACATAGCTGTGGTTATAAGTGCATTGATTTTTAGCTTGATTGCAGTAAGTTCTGCATGAGGTTACTTTCTCATAGATTTTGCTTCACTTACGAGAGTGTAATTAGAGTGGTGTGTCACCTATAAAGATGAACGGATGGACATTATATTATTCAAGATCTCTCTTTTCACGGAGTGAGAAAGCTGACTCTATCTGTGTTCAGAAGTACAAAAAATATCTTCATCCTAGTGATAATGTCTACTGATACCATCTGTACATCCATCTAACCAACAAAAAGAAAGAATTTTAAATGTGTTGAGAAGTACAGAAAGATATCACAAGGACGCATAGCATACGTATGCTAAACAAACCCTACTTTGACTGAAAAAAAAAAAAAATTCTCTTGGGAATCATTCAGAAAATATTGGTGCTGAGCTTTCCTAGGAAAAATGTAGAGAGTATATCCGCCATGCTGTTTCAGCAAAAAGTAAAAAATGATGAAGAAAATTTTCAGCTGTTATAATATTTACAATAATTCAAATGAGAGTTTATTCCAGGAAAAGATCTGATTCTTAGATTTTAGGAATGAATGTTATTACCTGCATTTGCTACACAAAAAGCATTATCTTTTCCCTAAATGACTTCAGTTTGTATAATTAACTTCACTTACAGCTTGCTGTGTGTGGATGACTGTGATCTCATATTGTGCTCCATAGTTTTGCTTTTTTAAACCGCTCCTGATGAATGCAGAAGGCAATGGAACATGTTTCCACCTGCTCTGCGGTGTGGGAGACTGAATCTATTTTAGCAATTACAAGGTAGAGAGGAAAAATCACTAATTAGTGGAACCATGAATCACCAGTACAGTTGAAATTGGCTATTCCCAAACTGCAGGCTGTTTCTTACTACAAGTGTAGCTGAATCACTTGTTTGCTCACATCCTTCTCTATTGGCCTTATTTTTTACACTACTGAGTAAACTCTTTTAATGATCTTGGGAAATCTGTTTGAGATAACATTTGGTATTTCATCCACGCACATTGCCGTACAAATTTCTGGAAAGTTCTGTGGACTTTAGGCTACTGCCTGCATCTGATGCTGAGCTTCTCAGGGCTTGCAGGCCCTTGATGGTTGTGCAGAACATAGAAATCCTTTGTAAATGGTGATAGATACAGTGGTGAAAGGAGACAGTGCAGTGGGTAAGCAACACACGCAATGACTGGTGATCAGAGGGGACCTGGAGACACCAGAGAAATTAAGGAATTATCAAAAAGCCTGCTATTGTGAGTGGGAAGGAAATAGAGACGATGGTGAGGAGAGAGGGCACTCTTCATGGAGTGTAGAAGGAAGGGCTTGAATATTTTTCCTGTTTTGATGGAAAATGATCTGTCAAAGTGTTACAGTACTGTCACCAATTTTCTATTGTAATCAAGAACAGAAGAATGTTAGCTAGTTCTTCATAGTCCTAAATTCTTCAGACCTCTTTATATTCTACATTGGTTATCAGTACCTTTTGAGAATTGCTTCTTATAATCCAGTCTCATGTTGCTTGAGGAAACTTGATTCTACATTCAGAAGCTCCACTGCCTCCCATTTTCACCCAGCAACAGTAACATCATCTGCAGTTTACCTTCACTTCACGTCCTACAGTCTGGAAAGATTTAAACACAAAACCTGTAATCTGGGATTCAAGGTTTACTGGTCTCTGCCAATATATTTCCCTGTTATTCCTGAGTTATTCTCAAAGGAAGCTAGTTAAACTCTGGTCGGAGAGTTTATTGTTGTCACCTAATGGGTGAGGGAGCAGCTCTGAAGCAGCAGTGGTGCAGTACCTTGCTTTTCCTTGTGCACATCTTCAGGCCCACCAGTGCAATGACACGCTTTTCTTATGCTTACCAATAAATGATATTTTGGAAAGGCAAGAGGAATTTTTGTCAGTAGTTGTCACAGAGCATATGGCAATATCATGCTCAGTGATTAAGAAAGGGAACAAAATCAAATGTTGGTCCAAACGCAGAATTTTCCATGTGGGAGAAATGTTGGTATTTCTGCACAACTCTTTTATGCTTATGTCAAATTTTAGGGTTTGAGGAAAGTATGCTAAAACATGAATCTTACATTAGTATGAGCAGTTTTGATAGGGACTTCCTAGATTTTACGCCCATTGAAAAGAAGAAATTATACTGTTTTAATTCATTGTAATACGGAATTTTAAAAATCTTAATTGTAAAATGGAGACGTTACAATAGAAAGTATAAGCACTCTGATAAAATGCCTGTTTATGTGGGTATCTGCTATTTCAGAAGTGACTGAAATCAAAATAAAATATACTCCCAGAAGCTTTGAGATGTGGTAAGATGACAATTACTTCATTAATGTCATACAATTATTATAAAATTATCAAAATCAGTATAAATTAAAAAACAAATAAATAACAAATTCTTAAAGACAGTTCAGAATTGAACTCTTCTCAGAATGTTGGAATATTAATTGAAATCAATACTATTTTGTGGAAATAAGTTTTAAGAACTCCAAGTAAATGAAAAAAAATGCTAGACCACATTATATTTCAATAGGAGGTCTGAAAATTCTTGTTTAATTACTATATGTTCAATAGCAATTCATTTTTCATAATGATCCTTTACAAGTGTAAATCACATTAACTGCAAATCTTGCTACTTAATAAATTGTTTTTAAATTCTGGTACATCTGCTAGCTTGGGAGCAGACTGTACTGAGACTGGTCTCTAGGCGACTTTAATTATGTTTTTCATTCACATGATGGAAATTTTCAGCCATCAGATGCCACCTGCTATCATTTTTATTTCCACTCTTGTGAACTTTTGCTCAGGGCAGCAAAGGCAACATTAGCTGTCGTACTTGTAAGGTGCATTGTCTTGAAAGCTCTGCTGTTGTACTGCGTTTACAAAGCCAGAACCAGGCTCCCAAAGCATGCTCTCAGGCGTGCTTTGGCCGGTAATAACAGCCTGAAGCCTGGGGTTTTTTGGAGAACTGGTACAATTTAGACTTCAAGACACTGGAAAACTTCATTTCAATTTTCAACAAAATTCTCTCTGATTCTTGAAGTTTCTGTTCATTTTTCAGCCCCCATCTCTTTTTCTTCTCCTACTTTTAATTACAAATTTTATTGAATATGTAAGTCAAAATAAATTATAAGAGCCAAACAATGATGTAAAATTTGTATAAATCTTATTAGAAACATTCTTGAGTCAGCTGGTAGAGCTATGGTCATGTTGTGTGAGGCATCTTCATCACATAACTTATTTTCTGTTGCTCTATGTAGTGGGCTTGATTAAGTCCATTCTAGTATGCTATCATCAGCTAAAGTATAGAGAAGGTAGGTGGTCAGTGCTATCTGAGGTTTAGGATGAGAATTCCTCCTTTAGTAACTGCTTAACATTTCAAATTTACCTTTAGTTTTTGTTTCAGTGAATCATGTCTTTCAGAGGCATCTAGTAATTCCACAGGGTCTTCGTGCTTAGTCCAGATCAGCCAGAGTAGAGGAATACTTGCATCTTCAGCAGCCTTAACTTTAGCTATTGGGTTACACAATGTTTGATTAGGATATTAGCTACTGTTCAGTTCAGACATTGTGGTTGCCAACTGATGCTGAAATTAGTTTCTGTTTGGAACTTAGATATTACTTACAGTCATGTTCTTTGGTAAGCTTCCAAAGTTAAAAGTTGTTTTAGATACAGCATATAAAAGAATGCTTCCAGTAGTAGAAGTGGTTTTAGGCAGCTATTTTAAACAGTGCATCATTAACAGAGCTATGAATATATTGTCTCTAAAATATTAATTTATCTGAATGACACTTTCAATTTAAAATCTTTTATACACTTACATACATTTCACTGAGATTTCTAGGAAGAAAAAGCACAGAGAAGTCTTTCAAGAGAGTACAAATTGAGACCTATTTATTTCACAAAACTTCTAAATATACAAAAATTATAGGTTGTATGGAGTTGCTGAAGATCTTCTGTTCTCAAATGTACAGTGTACACTATACTATAAAACCATTGTTAAAAACAGCATAAAAGTTTTGTGAACCCCAGATCTAGAATTCACTGCAGAGCAGTGTTTGAAATACTCTGATCTGGAAGTGTGTTTAAACTCAGACAACCACATTCTGTACTAGAGCACTGGGGCATCCTTGTCTAATGGCTTATTACCAAGCTCTTAGGGACTCACTGGCATGAAAGGCACTATATAAGCTTAAAGGAATATTTTTTTTCTTGCCCCATATGTAGTTTAGATGTCACTTGCAGTTACTGTGTACTGCTAGTTTACTTCAAACGAATGTTGATCGAGGCCTGAGGAAAAGATCGAGCTATGTGCTAAAAAGAGGCAAAAGAATAAAGTATTGCTTTGCTGTTCTACAGAGATACATCTGTGCTGGCTGCCAAATGTTCATTCCTAGTTTGAATTCAAAATTGATCCTTTTAGCCTGTACAGATAAGATAAAAGTCTGGTCATATTAGTTTAAATATTTGGTGTTTTTAAATAAAATAATTTTTTTAAGTTTTACTGTATTTTAATCTTTTTCAAGAAGCAGTAAAAGAAAACCTGTTCATTCACCTGGGAAGTGTGGAGCTTGTACAAACATGCTTGTTTTTTGAGAATACAGACCAGAATAAAACTGTCTTCAAATATCTCCTGAGAATAACTGCAAAAGGGTGCTTCACAGTCCTTCACAGCTGACAAATTATTTTGTTAGTATGGTACTTAGCCTTTTAAAGTCTGTTGTAGGTGCTTGCAAAAAAGCCCATGGCTAGCATTGTTAGAGGTAACCAAAAACTTTGGATTGCTCAGTATTTGGGTGGTTTATATAAGCCCTTTAAGAAGACCTGAATATCAAACATGTCCTCAATAACTTCTGAAAAATTGATTGCTTCAGATTGGGTACAAAATTACCAAAAGTATCAGTTTTTGAGGTCTTATGTCTGTCGTCGTTTGAGCCTGGTCAGCAGCTAAACGCCAGGCAGTCGCTCACCCACCCTCCCCCCCGTTGGGAATGGGAAGGGAATCGAAGGGGCAAAGGGAGACGCGTGGGTTGAGATAAAAACAGTTTAATACCAGTGACAGAATAACACACTGACAGCAGTATCAGCGGGTAACGTACCATACAGCTGCTCACCACCCGCCTGCTCCCGGCCGGAGATCCCCAACACAAAGGCCCCACAGCCACACTCCCAGAAGTGAGAGCCCTTCCCGGCCCTCTCCTGCCTTTATATGGTGAGCATAATGTAAATGATATGGAATAAGGGGTGGCTACTGTCCTGGTTGGGGCTGGCCTAGAGCTCCCGTTGGTCTGGCAGCGGGAGGAGCTGCAGCCCCCTGAGACCCCAGGGGCTCCCCAGGCCCCAGTGCCCTCACCTGTGTGCGGGGGCGGGGGGAGCACAGCTGGAGGGCTGGGCCCCGATTGGCCGATGGTCCATGTCATGTGATACTGTGCTCACTATATAAAGGCAGGAGTGAGCTGGGAGGGGCTGCCACTTCCTGGGAGTGCTGCTGTGGGGCCTTTGTGTTGGGGATTGCCAGGTGGTGAGCAGCTGTATGGTACATTGCCCATTGATACTGCTGTCAGTGTATTATTCTGTCACTGTTATTAAACTGTTTCTATCTCAACCCGCAAGTCTCCCTTTCCCCTTCCGATTCCCTCACCTTTCCTAAGTGGGGGGAGGGTGGGTGAGCGACTGCGGGGCGTTTAGCTGCTGACCAGTCTCAAAAGATAACATGTCCTATAGTAAGTCTACTAAAGGGGAGTTTTTTGTTGTTTTACAGTGTTGTAGAAGTGGAGTTTTTCTTGAAATTAAAATGCATTCCTTGTTGTTGGGTATCAAATAGTTCTGTCACCAATACCAAGGACAGTCACAGTGCTTTTGGCCATACTACTGGTCAATGCTGCTAGAGTGCCCAGACTGTTGTTTATGTGTTATATGGGTCCTAATGAAGTTATATGGATTCCAAGTGTAGGCATCATTCTTGTGTTATACATTTGACTTTCCTGTTGCCAGACTTCAGAAGTAAAGTTTTAAAGAGAAAATAGCCTAAAGCTCTGGAGATTATACTTCCTAGGCTGATTGGCAAAGATGTGTTTGAGATAATGTTCACACATTGTCTAACATTGGTGTCTGAAAAAAGTTAGTTTCTTCTGGAAATTCCTCTTCTTAACTAACTTCAAAAACCAGACCCACCAAGAGGCCAGAGAGCTTGATTTTCTTTTTAAGAAAAAGACATAATGACTATAAGAACACAATGTAATATACACTGTGTTGCTGTCCTGGGTTGAGTGAGTGGTGGAGTTTTTTGGTGGCAGGGGAGGGGGCTATCGGGGCGGCCCCCTGTGAGAAGCTTCTCGAAGCTCCCCCAGCTCCAAGCCAGCTCCACTTCTGTTTGGGAAATTGAGCCAATCGGCTGCACCTCTGCGATAATGTGTTTAAGAAGGGACGTGGTGACGGGCAGGGGGACTTGTGAGGAGGAGTTGCTGCAGCTGCATGAACACCAAGGTCAGTGGAGAACAGAGGAAGAAAGGAGGGGGGAGGTGTGCTGGAGCAGAGACCCCCCTGTATCCTGTGGTGAGACGGCAGGGCGGCCCCCCCCTGCCACCCATGGAGGTCTACAGTGGAGCAGACACTGATTTACAGCGTGTTGTTCCTGCCCAGATGATCAAGGTTCTGTGCCCGAAGAAGGCCAGGGTCTCATGGGAAAAGGCAGCCCCCTCTGCTGTAATTCAGCACTGGGAGGATTGCAGCACGTGGGGGAGTCCCACGCCAGAGCAGCTCGGGAAGGGCTGCAGCCGTGGGAGAGAATCCAGTCAGAGGAAGTTGGTGACCCATGACAGAGCAGTGTGGGGAACACTGCGGCCCGTGGGAGGAATTCAAGTCAGAGAAAGTTTGTGGAGGACTGTGTCCTGTGAGAGGGGGACCATGATGGATCAGGGGGTAACAAGTTTTGGACACTCCCCTCACCGAACATGAAGGAAGTGGCAGCGCTGACTGCACCCCCCATTCCCTGCCCCTGCGCCACTGGGGGAGGAGGTAGAGATATCGGGAGCAGAGCTGAGCCCGGGAAGAAGGGAGGGGTGGGGGGAAGGTGTTCTCAAGATGTGGCAATGTTTATCACTGTCCTACTCTGTTATGTGTTGTTAGTGTCTGTAATAAATGTATGTTCTTTTTTTCTTCCCCTAACGAGTCTGCCTTTTGCTCGTGATCATAAAAGGGGGATTTTTCCCCATCCCAGTCCTATCTTGAACCCCAAGCCTGGCTCTCTGTCCCTTCTCATTGCCGGAGGGGAAGGAAGACAGAGCTGCTGCATTGTGGTTGGCTGTCAATCAGGCCCAAACCATGACAGTTGCCCAACCACACTCCTGTGGTTTAAAAGTTAAACCCTAGACCTGTGTGAAACAAAAATGAATGAGGCAAAATGCTCATTGATTTAAATTACACTAATATAACTCATTGTTCTATTAATTTTTGGTATTATTCTCATTTGAGTTGTTTAGTTTCATTCTATTTGTGCCCTATAGCAGGTAATCACATCTAGGGACTTCAGAAGTTCTGATCAGTTTTCTGTCCTTCTGTGAGAACTACCAATTGTTAAGTTCTTTGCAATTACGTCATTTATTTCAGTCAGCTGTGAGGAGCCTAGATGTAAAAGCTATATACCTTCAAAGGAAAGTCCATTGTTCAAGGTCCTACAAAACCTCCTCTGGACAATTTTCCGTAAATCCTTTCAGCCTAGTTGCATAAGTATGGTTTTAGAAATCAAACTTTAGGCACCTTGGCTTGAAAGAATAACCTAAGAGTAAAAATATTTACATTTTCATGTCAACATGTGCTATTGGAATAAACTATTGGTAATTTTTCTGTTCTTAAAAAAAATCAACAAAAAAACCCTACCCCAAATACACCAAATTATAAGATTTTCTTACTGGAAACATTTTCCAGATATTTACTCAGAATCTACTATATGTTATGTATTTCAGATGATGAAAAAATACGTTGAGCCTTTTAACATAAATTATGACTCTAAAATAGATTGAAGTATTTTGTCCTAATAAATGATGACTTCTATGAAGAAAAGGAAAGAGAGAACTTGAGGGCTTTATTTAGATCCAGTCTGTTATTGTAAATGATGGTGCCAATTTATTTAGTTTTTTATAACCTCCAGCAATAGGAGATTATTGTGATAAATGATTCATATCGCTGCAATATATACCTCTTAAAATTTCCATATCTGGCAGCTAATAGGCACTTCCTGAAGGCTTCAATAGGCTCCTTAGCCAGATAACGTGGCTGAAAACTGCCTCATGATTAATTTCATCTAAATGTGGTAATTATCATACTTTGAAGTAATGCCTGCAAAACATGCTTTCACAGAGAGTTAGTGGAAGCTGAGGATTAACCTAGAAACATTTCAGTTCAGAGCAGCATATCACCCAAAAAGAAATGTATTTTCCTCTGAATTTTTCAAGACTTTTTATTAGACTACTTGGCAGTCATTTTCATTAACTTATCTCATATCAACTTCTTCACAGCAATGTAGAGAGCAACAGAAACTGAAGTAACTTTGTATTATTATCGGTAATGGGATAGTCTTGGTTTTGCAAGCTACTTATTTTGGCAGCTTCTGTCCTGAAACATTTGTTGTATTAGTGTTTAAGAGCACAATTAATTTATCATTCATATATGTTGTGGACAAAAGAATTATCCTGCCTATATACTGTGCATACTATAAATTATCAGAGAGGATGTTCATTTCCTCATGGACACCCAGGGGAATAACTTCTACCACTACTCTATGCATCTCTCTCCTCCCTGTCTCACAGGACCTCCATGAACCACTTCTTAGTTGTACAGGTGAGACTAGTGAAAAAGGTATGTAAGGCTCCAAGTGTGGTTATAAAAATGGCTGATTTCTGTACCCAGCTAAAAGCCCTGAGGTAGAATAGCATCAAAAATTATAATGGAGAGAGAAGCTATCATTGAGTATTTCCTTCCATTTACATCTGATTAGTAAAGGTTCCAAATCTTCTGTCAGCCATCAGAAAAGTCCTAGAAGAAGTGGCACAAAAATTCCACCTTAACTGAAAATGAGACTGAACATCTTAGTTAAGTCACCCTGGTAGGCTACCAGGCAATGCTGTATTTTGATATACCCAAGTTATATTAATTTTATTTAAATCAACCAGAGACAGATTTTTGCCTCTTACATGGTCTATATGCAGGATTGACTGAATTTTTTCAGGGTCATATGTTATTCCACACTGGCTCAATTTTGATAAGTCATATATGTGCTCATTTTTAAAAACGTGAAAGAAATGCACTATCTTGAACTTCAGTTGAACATTGGCAAAAGTTTGGAGAAGCCAGGATCTTTCCTCCAGGATAGATTGGAGGGATAGCTTGGGTTCTGTCTGGCTGTCTCCTCTTTAGCTGTAAATCTTCCATTTGTTTTGGCATGTGGGAAATACATGACAGCTGGAGTTTTGGCTAGGTGTTATGTGGAGCCTTCCTAACTAGGCCTCGATTGTATGGTTGTCAACAATTGTAATAAAAGAATGCCTTTCATTAGACGTCTCTATACTTAGGCTCTTAACGCATCTTCCCTTGCATTTCTGCTACCTGACAATGTGCATGTGGTGAGCAACCGTGTCTCAGCCAGTATATGTAAATCATGGTAATGTAATCACATGTTAAATCTCATAGATTATTATACCAAAATTAAACAAAAATGTTAATGTTCACACAGGTTTTGTTACATTTACACTCGAGGTCAAATTAGTGCAATTATACCATGAAACAAAAAGATACACTGCGTCATTCAAATGCACTTTTCAGCAAATAAGCTGTTTCACCTCTAAAGCACGCACTGCTGTTTTCTACCTGTAATCCTTCCTGTATTTTTATGCGTATGTGGTTTTTTATCTTACAGATAAAAAAGAAGCTGCTGTGTCCAAAGAACTCAAAAGTAAGAAACTACTGTGCTATAGATTATGATCTCTTTTATATGTCATGTATTTTTTTAACAGCATGTTTCAACAATCCAAAATTTTATTGAATTGTTGAAAATACAAAGGAAGTAGCTACACCATTTATAATTGAAAAATGACATGTTTAGACTTCAGCTGCCTCCTACTTTTTAAATTCATTCTTATCCTACTTCTAATTCCACACTCCTCTTAGTGAATGACAGTTTTGCCTTTCCCTCTTTCCTATCACAGTCTTCAAAAACAAAGTTTCATGGGGAAGGAAATGTCAAATGAGGTCTCAGTTCAATGTGCTCTCAAGTGGCAGCAATTTTGGTAAATGTGCTGAGAAGACTGAGAGTCAAACATGCTGGGGACCACCAAATTTATCTTCACAAATGCAAAACACAGGCCCTGCCTATCTAGTTAATTCATATTCAGACAGAGAGACTTCTGAGGCAGAAGAGAGGCAGGGGTTGGGCTCTTCTGCATAAATAACCAAAAAAAGCCCTAAGAGCGTAATATTGTTAACAAGGGGACTCTTATGCCTTCCTTTTCTACAAATTTACAAGCATCAGTGCCTCAACACAGTAAGAATAGTAAGACAGTTTCACTGGTAAGACTTCATCTGCTGAAATCTCTGTTCTGAAATTATGGTATATAAGAAAAATTAGGAAAACTATGGGGCTTCAAAATCTCATTCAAATTCATGATTAAAGAATGAACTGACTCCCACCTCCATATATGATCTTTCCCGACCTGCATGGCAGAATAATGCCCTGTCATCCTCAATTTTGCAGGAATTTATTAAAAGATTTCTTTTGGCAATCAAGAAAATCTTATACATTGACTCACTACACAAATTTTGCAGAAATATTGAACAAAAGTTTCAATGGATTTACTTCACAAATAATGTCCTGTTAGTAAATTAACTGCTTGTTGCAAGCAGGTCTTAAGGTATCTATTCATTTGGGCATGATTCCTCTCAGGAGAGAACTTCCCAGCAGCTCTCACAGTAAAACTTCCCACCTCCATCACATGAGTGAAATTTGCAGGGTGACATTTTCAGCTGAAACTTGTTCACATAAAGGTGCAGAGTCATAAGCACTTAAATAATTTGTGAATTATAAACTAAAAAGTGTATGCTTACAAAAGGAAGTTTAAAACATTTGGCACATTTGTTTCAATGCTACTGAAAAATTAAATAAAAAAAAAAGTATATAAGGTTTTGGTCAATCATATGCTTCATTTTAAATTATTTCCTCAATTTAAATTATTTCAGTTGCTCAGAAACAAATCTTGATAGAACAAAAAGAATCATAGCTCAATTTATTTTCACAGATTTACAAACAAAAGTGAAAAAAAGTCTCACTGGCCAGCAAACTGAGAGCTCAGAAGGGAATAAATGTAGGAGTCCTGCAGTTTTGTATTAAATCCATCTTGTCATTTGTAGAATGTGTGTGGGACCTCTTGTTTCTTCTGCATGAACAGGTGCTCAGAAAAGTAATACTAAGTAAATTCTTCTTCAAGGTTTTTTATCTATTTCCCTGAAGGAGGGGCAAGCACCAGAAGTAATTACAGTGCTGTGATAATAGCTAAGTTAGGATATAATTATTTGTTACAGGCTTCTAAATGGATGGAAACAAGATAATCCCACACATGCAAACTATATTTTGTTTTCATTTTGTTTCACAAGGTGATATGATGCATCTTTTATGAACTTCTCAAAAGACTGAAGGGGAAGAACTCAAAATTACGTTCCTGATTTAGCCATATTATTTTTCTTTGTAATAACACAGTGACAGATGTGAAGGATTAACTAACATTTTTTTGGCATTCTGTAATTCAGATTGTGATTAAAATGATTAATTATTTCCTCTCACAATATGGAAATGTGAATTTTAAGTTAGAGGATCTTCTAGTTGATATAAAAAGTCCATTATGAAAATTGGTGGAGTTTAGTTTATGGATATTTGTTAAATTATTTTGGCTTACGTACAGTCTGGTTTAGTAGTTCCTCAGGATAAAAGTGATTAACTAAACATGTGTAAAGAGTAAATAAATCCAGTAGGCTAGTTAGGTTCTTCTCTCCAGGACTGAGATTCTCCAAGTCTGTTTGGGGATGCACATTTTGGACCTTCATTCTGCAAGGAAATATCCTACCTCAGCAAAGAGAGGGTAGTGCAAATGTTTCAAGGAAACACAAAGAACAGAACTACAGTTAAACATCGCGAGAAAGCCAGTTTCTCTGCTAGGAGAACCCAGCATTTGTTCTTTTAAGTGCAGGACCAAACATGAATTTGTTCTCCCAAAGCTCCTCCTTTCCTTCGGGTGAAGAGAGGCATGTCTGTGAATGTACTTTGCAGAAGTATCCTGATTTCAGCATTTCTCATCAGGGAGAAATTCAGATTAGGGAAAAGGATGCAACCTTGAATAGCTGTGCAATCCCACGAAGCACTGCTGCTGCATTCACAGCAGTGAATCCTCGCCAGCTGCTGTAGGCTGGTTCAGGACCTTCTGCTCTCTAAGCTGTGAGATCAAACGCAGAGGCTCCCAGCCCATAGCTGCTGCCTGAGTGGTGAGGCCATGCCCAAACCCCTAGAAACCTGCTTTGCTCTGCTTAGCCAATAGATATTGAATTGCTAGACAGAAAAAGCTAAAAAGTTATTCAGTGCCTAATGGCAGGAGTTTGCTAGCCCTTCAGCTGGTTATTTTGTTGATGTCTTTGAGTTTATTGAAGGAAGCTCAGCTTTTTTCTCTTTGGGTAATCACTTTGTCTAACTCATCAGTGAAAACACTGCTACAGGCTGTACCTCTTTAGAAACCTTTCCTCAGGTTTCTGTTTTTTTTTTTTTTTTTTAAGATTTAACACTTTGTAGTAATTGGTTACATTTGGTTTTTTTTTTTTTTTTTTTTTTTAAGAGCCAGCAAAAGCTCCTGCAGCCAAACCAGCCACTAAAAAAGCAGCAGCACCAGGTAAAGGAGTAAAATGTTCACATTCGATGTATTTCTTATATTCTTGAACCAGTTTATTGCATCATAGCACCATCTGCTGGATTATATGAAAGCCACTGTTTTGGGTTTTGTCTGCTCTAAATTATTGTGATAATTTGTGTGTGAAACCTTTGCTAAGAACAAAACCATTTTGCATTGATCTCTAACATTATGGTTGCTTTTTGTCATCCCATGGCAGATATCAGATGTCATATTAGGCTATTCTGCAGGGCTAGAGATCAAAAAATGAATCTGAACGTAGAGTGATTTTAAAAAAAAATATTTACAGAAATTAGTTTCCATGTGAAGCTATAGTCAAGCCCTTTGAGAAGAGGATATCGTTTTTCAAAGTGCCAGCCTTACAGGAGGCTTTCAAAAATTAAGCTTTTAGACAATCATATATATGCATTGAAAAAACAAGTAAGCTTTTTTTAAACAAAATAATGGTACAAATTCATATCTGAATTTAGATTGAATTGTAAAAATCTACTACTTTTTATTGATTTCCAATATCTTCTGTTTCCCAGACATCTTCAAAACTGTCACATTGCATTTCTGCTTAATTTAATAAAATCCAATATAATGAATAACAACCTAAATATTCAGGATACTTGTAGTTTTACTACATTTTAAATTAACTAACAGGAAAAAAAAGGGAATTCCCATTTGAAAATGTGAGAAGCATAAACCCATAATATTATTCTACTCTATAGTAGGGTGGCCAATGCTGTACCAGGCTCTGTGCTGCTGAGCTGTGCCTGGTGCTGGCATCACAGGAGTGGCCAACCCACTTCCTCCTCTGCGTCTTGCTTCCATCTGATCCCACTGTCTGTGGCTATGTGGATCTATGTCAATCTGGGACCTTTTTCTCTCTTCTTTCTTTTTTTTTTCTTATAAGATAGTTTTCTTGCTGTCTTTCTTGAATTCAGACCTTTTCAGTCTCTATCCGAGAGATTTCTTCCACTAAGTAAGAGAATAATAAGTTGTACCAGCAGGGGATACTGGGAATTGGTCAAGGACCGGTGCAAGCCAGGAACATCTTCTGTTGCCACAAAAGGGCTGGAAGCCTGAATTGCAGTTGATATAGGCTATCATAGGGCATATTGTACAGCTGCACATTGTACTGCGTGTAGCTGGCCTAAGAAGTGTCATTTCCCTGCTGATGCTCCCAGTCCTTGCCTGCTCTGTTTGTTTGAGGCTGTGTAATCCACATTATTGTTGTGGTTTAGAGCTAAAAACTGTCCTAGAAATATGTGTGTGTGTGTGTGTGTCATGGTGTTCAGTCTGGATCATTTCAGTAAGTCTGGCTCCACAAACATTTATGTCTATGTAACTGATAATTTCTTAAAGCAGCTTTGTTGCCAAAGTGTGTTGTATAGTTAGACCCTTACATGTCTCGACAGTACACTGCAGAAATCGTTATGTTAGAACCATATGCTTATAATTAATTCATTCCACCTGCTTGCATCCAATATTTGTGTTCATTTTTGAAAAATATTCCAGTGAGTCTGCTTGTTGGCAAGAATGGTGATGACAGTAATCTGCTTAAGATAAAGAAAAGGGGAAAAACTGGCATGGCTTCTTATGGAAAAATAAAATGAGTTTATATGTTCTGACACATTTCTAAATATCTAGTTTGCCTTAAAAGAGATAAAGAGCAGTAAGCTTTGACTTCTACATTTTTCTTTACCCTCCTCTCTGAAAATTAATTTACCCCCGGAATAACTCACCATAGCAAAATATTAAATATGCTTGTTTGGCAACATTGTAACTAGACTGCTGCCCATTAGCACAGTAAATTAAATACATTATCCAATTTCATATTTCATTTTCTTCCACATATCTTATTACACCACACCCTATTCCCCAGAATACCTTAAACTGAAGGTTTAGTCCTATTAATGGACTGAAGTGACTGAGGGCACAGCTGGTCATCTTCCAGTGCTTCTACATCACATATGTTCCTGGACTTAATGTCACTGGTGAAGAAAACCCTGCTTAATACACCGTGAAATATTTTTATCTCCATATATTTGTGCATGAAAAGCAAAGAAAGTGAATGTGGAATTTTGAAGTCTGAGAGCTGTGTCTGGAAACTGATGGCTGCTCTTAGGAAACCAGCTTCAGTGAATATCTGTTACTTGATTTTCAAAGTGGGTATTTTCAAATGTAGTGCTTTCTCAAAAAAAATTACCTCTCTGGCAACCATCTGAAACTGGCCTGGAGAGCATAGTATCTGGCTTTAAAGCAAAATAGTTTCACAGATATATGCAAGTGATGCTATTCTGAAGGGAGAAACCAGAGCTGAAGATATTTCAAGACACTAGTCTTCTCCAGTTATACTGTTTTATGATGTCCTAACCCAAACCCTGCTGCAACTTCTGCTTTCAACATGGTGCTTCACCTCTCCAGCTGTGCCAGGAGGACACGTCTGGGAGTGACCTAGCCTTGCAAAATATCTGTCTATCACTTTTCCTTGAGGAGGGGCTCATGTTTCTTTCACAGGATTTCCTCAGGCATCCCTCTTTGTGCTGGGCCCAGTGTATTCTCTGGAGGGTTTCTCAGCCCCTGGAGTGTAGGTGCTGAGCACCTGCCTCATCCTGCCGCCCTCTGGTAGGATGGGCGACTGGGAGGGAAACCTGCCCCTCGCCCCCCATCCCCACGGAGCCTCAGCTGGGAAAAGCTCCCTCACCATGCCGGGTGCCGAGCCCCATGGCTATCGATAATTCTCTGCCAGGTCCTGCTGTCCATGTGTCAGTTGTGGGGCACAGACGCATCATGCCTCCGCTTGGTGAGTTTGCTGGGTCTGTTTTGGCATTGAAAGGAAAGCAAGTGGGTTGTGGTGCAGGGCAGGGAAAGGAGCACAAGGCTCAAACCATGCAGGGAGCGTTGGCGGCCAAATTAGCAGAAGGGTGACTGGGATCCCCAGTAGGCAGCAAGAAGCCTCGGTGCCACTGAGCCCTGCACGCTCCTAAGGGATGAGAGGGTCAGGGATGAGAACAGCTCATCTGTGAATCCCTCTCATGAGATAATCTCAGATTATAGGCAACATTCCTGCACCTTCTTTAAGCATCAGTAATAGTGCTTTCCCCTGATGGTTCTCCTGATTTAAAAATCAGCTCTAACTCTTTTCAACACTGTAAAAATTAATTCCTAATTGCAGCTTAGAATTTCCCTGGAATGGTCTTGCAATTTTTAATTTAATTTTACAGTATGTTTAACAGAGTTTGTGCTGTCACTTAACTGCCTAATTACTGAATTTTAATGCCTAATTGTTCCCATCTTCCTTTCCGCACACATGCAAAAAAAATCCTATTCATGGCTCCCTTTGGGTTTATAACAGAAATATCATTTTCCCCTTGAAAATCAATGAAATTTAGTTGAGACCCAGAAAGAATAAAATAAGTATGACAGACAAATAACCAATTTTAAGTGCTTGGATGTCAGTTGAGTCCAATCTCTCAAACTGACTGTCAGTTGTGCTAGAATCATTACTATTTCATTATGACTCTGATTTTTCCACTGCTGGTAAGAAGCAGAAAGAAAGAGAAAAAAAAAAACAAAAAAAAAAAAAAAAAAAAAAAAAAAAAAACAAAACAAAAAAAAAAAACCAACAACATTATATAGGAAATGAGTTCATGAGGTAAATACAGAATATTGGAACACAGGCTATACTGAAAAACCTCGTCAGAGGATCAGTGGAAGAGGTTCAAGTTGCTCTGCCTAATGCAGGAAGAATTACTGGTTCTACTGGTAATGAGCTGTAATTACGTAACAGACAAATGATTTTAATTCTTGGTTCAAGGTGAACAACAGCAACTAAAATGGCAGCAGGAAAGAATCTTTATAGTTGCCATATGGTATAACCAGTGCTATTGTACTTAAAAAGGAAGAAATAAAACAACATTTATGGGACAGCAGGTATGAATTGAAATGGAGGAAAGGTTTATTAAGGAGCTGAGCTCATTTCTTGTCTTTTAATTATGTCTTTTAATAGGACACAAGTACATAGAAAGAATGTTAAAATCATGTAAATGTTACAAAAGTTTAATAAAATCAGCATGTCCACTGAAGAGTTTACCAACACTGTGGAATGGGCAAAACTATCATGGATTCTTTTTCAGGCTTCTCACAGTCAGGTAGCTCTCCTGAGTCACATGTCAGGGTGTATTTTACTTACAACACTACATCCCCTGCATCATCCATCCACCTACTTATGATCTTCTTGTGTAGATGTATTGCCCAAAAGAAGAGACATCAGAAACCAGTGTAAATTGGATGTTACCCCCGTGTAAGAGCTTTTGGAAAGAGGAAAATGAGAGGAACAGTGTTTCTTTCTCTTTCCCACTGTATGTGGACATAGCCCTAGTAGAGTCTGCCATCCTGCAATCTCTTCAGGATCTTCTGAGTGAGCTTACGTGCTCTGAAATTTCTCTTTATAAACAGCCACTGCCCTTGGTTAACATCTCTGCATATATTTATGTGGTACAAGTGTTACCAAGAAAATTCTTCTGGTAGCTGGAATAGTCTGTTAAGATTTTTAGTCCCTGAAGTTAACTCTCTCAGACTTTTTCATAATGTAAGCAGACATTTTCAGGGTTTATTTTATGTGTTTAAAGTTTAGCTCTTCGGGAACAAATGATAGAGGTAACTTACTGCATGCATAAGGATAGGCTTTGTGGTTTATTTCCACATGAAATAAATCTTCACTCAGGCATCACGTGTTTATGCAGAGTAAACAAAATAATGAAACCCTACCTGTATTAATTTTGCTGCTCAGGGTCCTTCGGTTTATATCCAGGATCATTCTGTAGTCCTTTTGAATCACAGAGGCTTTCTTCTCAGTCCAGTTTAGCATAATTCTTCCTCTCTTTAATTCACCTTAACTCTTTGGAAAGTTAAATATTGTATCTTCTCTGACTTATTCAGTTACTTTCTGGTTTTAAGGGGAGAGTTATAGGTTTTTCTGTCTTTGAACAGTA